TCCTTTTCAAAAAGGATGCTAAGGCGCGATTAATTAGGTGGATCCTTCTATAGCAGGAATTTGACTTGACCATCAAGGACAAGAAAGGTGTCGAGAATGTCGTTGCCGACCATCTGTCTCGACTCGAGTTCAATGATCCCGCCGATGGCCCTGCCATCCGCGATAACTTCCCTGATGAAAATCTTTTCACCGTCACTAAGCTGCCTTGGTACGCTCATATCGTAAACTACTTGGTGACGGGCGAACTTCCATCTACTTGGAATGCACAAGATAAACGCAAGTTCTTGGTCGAAGTGCGAAACTTCTATTGGGATGACCCATATCTTTTCAAGTATTGTCCCGACCAAATCATGAGATGATGCATTCCTGATGATGAGATTACTAGTGTTTTGAACTTCTGCCATAACGATGCATGTGGTGGTCATTTTTCTGTGAAAAAGACCGCCGCAAAAATCTCACAGTGTGGTCTTTATTGGCCTACTTTATTCAAGGACACTAATCAATTCTATCGTTCTTGTGTCCGGTGCCAAAAGTTAGGTTCTTTGTCCTGACGCCATATGATGCCTTTGAACCCGATTCTCGTGATAGAAATATTCGATTGTTGGGGGATCGACTTTATGGGACCATTTCCGCCTTCTTTTGGGTACCTTTACATCCTCCTCGCTGTGGATTACGTTTCTAAATGGGTTAAAGCCATGCCATGTAGAACCAATGATAATGCAACAGTTGTTAAGTTCTTGAAGGAGAATGTGTTATCTGGGTTTGGCACTCCATGTGCTATCATCAGTGATCAAGGCACTCATTTCTGCAACCGTTCATTTGAGGCTCTTATGCGCAAGTATGGTGTGCTTCATAAGGTTGCTACTGCCTATCATCCACAAATGAATAGCCAAGCTGAGTTGGCAAATAGGGAGATCAAATAAATTCTGAAAAAGACGGTAAACCCCGACCGCAAGGATTGGTCCTTACGTCTTCTTGACGCTCTCTGGGCATACCGCACTGCCTACAAATCCCCTCTTGGGATGTCTCCCTATAGGCTTGTCACTGGGAAAGCCTGTCATTTACCTATCGAGCTCGAACATAAAGCTTATTGGGCCATCAAGGCCCTTAACTTTGATCTCAATGCTGCAGGTATTCAAAGAAAGCTCCAATTGTCTGAGATTGAGGAGTTAAGGAACGACGCATATGACAATTCCAGGATCTACAAGGCCAAAATGAAAGCGGCTCATGACAAGTAGATCCTGAGAAAGAATTTTGAGCCAAATCAGCGGGTGCATCTTTATGACTCCCGTTTGCATCTCCACCCAGGTAAGTTAAGGTCGCGGTGGACTGGTCCATTTGTGGTGAAACAAGTTTTTCCCAACGGTGCTGTCGAGGTCGAGGACCTGAGCGATGGAAGAGTATTCAGAGTCAATGGCCAGAGACTGAAGCATTACATTGAGCGTATGAGCCAAGCTGAAGAGATCATTCTCGAGGCTCCAATTTACCAACCTTAAGGAGTTTGCTTCTAACCTTTTTGTATCATATTTTTGTTTCTTTTTGTCGTTTGGTGTGTTTTGTATGCTTTTATTTTTAGTTTGATTTTGTGTGCTTTTATATTTGTTTGTGTTTTGGAGATTCAATTCAGGAGGCTCGACTTAATTCCACTATTCATTGAAGGCTTAGCTTTGTTCCGATGTTCATCATCCAGGTGTTCTCTTTCCCTGTCTTCTTCATATTGCATATATTTTTAGATATTGAGGACATTGTCTGATTTTGGGTTGGGGTTGGCGAGCATATTCATGTGTGAGATTAATTTTTGTCTTGTTGTTATTGGGTCAAAATTTTTGTGAGATTAACTGAGTATGATTTCAAAATGTTCGGTTTGAGTCAGTTTTTGCTATCTTAACTACCAAGAAATGATTTCCAGAGTTATTTTTGAGCACATGCTAGACCTTGTGGTAAGATGGTTGTTGACACATTTAGTTGAGAATAATTCTCGAGTTTAAGGTTTTCATTTTTGGTGAGTTGTGAGAGTTGAGAAAACAGCTTTTTGAACTTTCATTGATCTTTTGAGTTGGTTGAGTCATTGACGGAGCACCTTTACTTGACTTGTGATATTTACTTGAGGGATGATTTCTGGTTAGGAATAATTTTTTGAATTTGAGCCATGTGTTGTAGATAGTTATCATTTTTCTTTTGCATTTTATCAAAAAAAAAAAAAAGAAAATTTTTTTTTGAGAGAGCAAGAGCATCATTTATCATCAATGTTTATGTACTTTGGTTGCACTGACATCTTGTGCTGCATAGCAGCCAATCAAAAGAATGCCTTACTATATCAGCTTCATCAAATGTATGTTGTCTCTTACCTCGAAAAAAAAAAA